AGCACGAGTGTTAAATTTAGTATTTTTAGAAGCAATAATTTATCGCATGTTTGCTTATGCAACTGTTTACGATTCATTTGTTGTGTAGTTCAATTGTTGTGAACTGATGTCATGTTACTCAAACCTTCTTAATTTTTCTCACTGCTTTAAATAAGTATTGTTATATCATAATGTCTCGTAGTTTGTAGAAAGTTCTAGGCCTCTGTTGGGCAATATATAGGTGACCACGTTAGTACAAGTAAGTAAGGAAGTAACAGTGAAGTTAGACTGTGTGTGAATTTAGCCATAATGTGCGATTTCTAAAGTGGGTTCCACAGCTTGTATTGTAACAACAGAGATAGAGGAGAATACTTTGTCTTGTCAAAAGGTGTTCTAAAGTAATTTAACACCCCTATGTGGCATTTGATGCAAAGAAGACAATTATTTAAAGCTCTGGATAAAACTGTGGTAACCAACACTTATAGTGGTGATTTTAAAGTGAGTATCACAGCCTTATATTGTAATAACAGAGTAGAGGAGAATAATATATTTTCAAAGGATGTTCTAAAGTAATTGAACCCACCTGTGTGGACTTTGATGAAAAAGAATTATTTAAAGCTCTGGATACAACTATGATAACCAATAGTGTAACAAATTTTTGTACATACATTTGACTTGTTTTGATTATATTATTTTAAAACAAGTGGATGCTGTGCTGCCCGTTTATTGCTGAAATTTATTGCCAACAAGTCACAGACACCTACTGTAAAGAATCTGGCCCCCCCCATAAACTTGACAAATGACTATGTACCATTTCTGAACTGTTCAAACTTTAGTTAAAAGCATATATGTCAATCATACAATGGTATAATTATATACACATTATCAATAAATTACACAATCCAAGATACATCCCAATTGTAAAGTACTATAACAAAAACCATGTGCTGTTCAAAATTATTGGGTAATTTTTATTTTTTTTAAATATCAACTGTATTCTTCTTTGCCATAACAACCTTAATCACAACTATTTTCAGATTGGCTGGCATTTTTTTTTAAGCCAAAAATGTTTACATCTGAGTGACCAGTCCAGATATCAACCATATAGGATGAGTATGCTCAGTGACGGGGATTCAAATTGAGCACCCTAACCACCAGGCCCAAATATTGACTAGTATGATATATTGCATACATAAATATGCTTTGTGTAAGCATAAGTGTGGGTGTATATTTAATATATTAAAGTAATTAATGGATGTTTTTTTTTGCCAAGTAAATGGAGGAATGTATTACTATGAACAGGAACAGATGAATTAACACACAAGTATGCAATGTGAAATTTTTTTCTACTGTTACTCCTCTCACACACTGAAACTCTAAACATGTTTTTCCAAGTTAATCTTTTTCATTCTGGAACTGACTAAATCTCCGATCATCCCTGGTTAAGACACAAAATTTATGACACAATCCAGGAAACAAGTAAACAGATTACCTAACTGATTTGTAAGACAGTTGTAAGGCTAATCGGTGCTACTATAACGTGCAATCTACACAGATACTATCATTATCACCATTTTAATGATTCACTAAAACATAATTTCTTGCTTTATAATTTATATTTACCCACGTTTTTCTTCAGCAAATAATAATAATAATAATTTAATGAGTTGTGTGTTCCAATAGAGTACTTTAAATTTAGGTTATAATTGTGCTAGTTTTGATTGTTGGAATTTATCTCATTCCGATTATATTTGCCCCCCCAAAACGATATGTAATGATATTTTGTACTTTATTAGATTAAAAGCGTTATTTATAATAAATGACATCAGCTGCAAATAAAGTAAAGTTGAAATACTGATGATGACAGTATCTGTGTAGAACACACATTATAGTGTAAATATCTTTGTAGACCACAAAGATATTTGACCACCATATTTATTTACGATAGTCAATTAGAAATCAGAGCAAAAAAAAAAAAAAACCTATGTTTTCCATGTTGCCGACAAATTTCACTAAATCTACAAAGAGCTCATTAACAATGTCATCACCTTGACAAACCTTTATTTGTTGGTCTATGTATTTAATCTTTTATATATGCAAGTTTCTGCAATGGAAGAAATGAAATAATACAATAATTTAATTTAATATTGTTTATCTAATATTATTGGAATATTTATTTAGAAT